CTTCGTCACTCGTCGCAAGTCTGGGAAGAAATTCATGCGTTCTGCCATACGCAAATGAAGACTCGGTCTCGTCAACTCAGGTCGGAGCTTCGCTCCCTCTCGAAAGGTACTAGAACCATTTCTGATTTTGTTGCTCGCGTTCGCACTATCGTTGATACATTAATGTCAAATGGTGATCCAGTCCTTCATCGTGACCAAATTGAACTGATTCTTGAGGCGTTACCATCGAAATTTGACTCGGTTGTTGCTGCTGTTAACTCTAAGACTGATTTCATCTCAATTGATGAATTGAAATCGCTTCTCCTCACTCAAGAAGCTAGAGTGGAGAAATCCAAGAAAGAAGTTGTTCAGACTGTCTCTGTGAACCTTACTCAAGGTAATGTGCCAAGTTTCAATCTCAGTCCCCAAAATCCTGATATCACTGACTCCAGTGGTGGAAATTTCCAAAGCTTTGGTCGTGGTAAGCTATTCTCGTGGCAGAAACAATAGAGGAGGAAGGTTCAGAGGACGTAGGTGGCCGCAAACGGCTACAGAAACTCTGTGCAATGTCAGATATGCTATAAACCTGGTCATGATGCTAGCTATTGCTACTACAGACACTCTCAAGACTATTATGGTGTCTATCCTCCTTATGGTGCTCCTGCCTCCTTTGGAAATTTTGGCTTAAGTCAACCAAATGTGTGGAGTCAACCTGGATTTAGGGCTCCAAGTTCTTCAACTGTGAATCAAGCTAGACCTATGGTGCCTGTCATGGCATCTCAGTACTCTGGTGCAAGGCCTCAGGCACTGATTGCTGGCACTGACTGTTCTTCATTCTACAACCAGGCGTGGTATCCTGACTCCGGAGCTTCACATCATGTCACTCCAGATGCCACAAGTCTTATTGATACTGTATCTATGCCTGGTAATGATCAGGTTCACATTGGCAATGGCCAAGGTCTGTCCATAACTTCTCTTGGCTCTATGACTTTTTCTTCAAATTTATGCCCTAACACTTCTTTGTAACTGAATAATCTTCTTGTTCCATCCATTACTAAAAATCTGCTGAGTGTGAGTCAGTTTGCCAAAGATAATGCTGTATTCTTTGAGTTCCATGCTAATGCCTGTTTTGTGAAATGTCAGGGTACTTCTAAAGTGCTTTTGAGTGGTTCCCTTGGGAGTGATGGTCTTTATAAGTTCGACTGCACTCCTCCTCCTACTTCCTCTCAAGTCCTCAGTGCTGTTTGCAAGTCATCTGGCCTTTAACATCCTTCTTTGGAATCTAGCTTTGTGTTCAATTCCAGTTGTAATAATAGGAACTTAGATTTTGTTTCTAGTCTGTACAAATTGTGGCACCACAAGTTGGGTCACCCTCATCATGAGGTTCTTAAACAAGTTTTCAAACTGTGTAATATTTCAATTCCTAATAAACAGTTTTCTGACTTCTGTAATGCCTGCTGTATGGGTAAGGTACATAGGTTACCATCTACCTCATCTAAAACTGTTTACTCCAAACCCCTTGAACTTGTGTTTTGTGACTTATGGGGGCCCTCACCAGTTCCCTCCATCTCTGGCTATTCATATTTTCTCACCTGTGTTGATGCTTATAGCCGTTATACCTGAATTTATCCTTTAAAATTAAAATCTGACACACTTGCCACATTTATTCAGTTTAAAGCTCTTGTTGAACTACAACTTAATCTCAAAATCAAGTCTGTGCAAACAGATGATTCGAATTCAAACCTTTGACACACTTTCTAACCATGCATGGCATAACACACAGAGCTACATGCCCACATACTCATCACCAAAATGGCTCTGTGGAAGGTAAACACAAACATGTTGTGGAGACAGGTCTCACTCTTCTTGCTCAGGCTAACCTACCCTTAAAATTTTGGGATCATGCTTTCCTCACTGCTACCTACCTCATAAACAGGCTTCCATCTCCTTCCCTGCATAATAAATCACCCTTTTTCTTGCTGTATTTTCAATTTCCTGACTACAAGTTCTTAAAGGCCTTTGGCTGCTCATGTTTTCCTCATCTCAGACCCTATAATTCTCACAAACTTGCTATGCATTCTAAGGAGTGCTTATTCCTTGGCTATTCTCCATCCCACAAAGGCTATAAATGTCTTGATCCCACTGGCAGAATATTTGTATCTAAGGATGTAATATTCAACGAGCACAGGTTCCCAAATACTTCCCTATTTCCTGACTCATCATCTAAATCTGTTTCAAAACCCTCCACTACTCCCTTTTCTGGACCTTCATCTGGACATCCTATTCCCCTTACATCTGTTGGTCCTCACTCATATTTTCAGTCACCTACTAATTCCCTTGGTTCTCCTAGCAGACAACCTTCTTTCAGCAGCATTAATCCTGACCCTGTTTTACCTGTTTCTCCCTCCCAGTCTGCTTCTATTTCTCAACATTTTGTCCATCCTGAAACATCTTCTGCTGACTCTTCAGCTGTGTCTCCTTAAGTTGGTACTGAGTCCTCCTCAGTGGTCATTGGCAACAGCACAACCTCTTCTCCATTCACTGAACACTCCTCCCCTGCTCCATATGTTCATCCTCTTAACACTCATCCCATGGTCACTAGAGCTAAGGATTGTATTGTTCAACCTAGGCTGCACCCCACTCTCCTTCTCACTCACTTGGAACCAACCTCACATAAACAAGCTTTATCCATTCCTGAGTGGCAAACTGCTATGAAAGCTGAGTACGAAGCATTAATTAGGAACCACACTTGGTCTTTGGTGCCTGCTCCTGATCACAGAAAACCTATTGGTTGCAAGTGGATTTTTAGAGTCAAAGAAAATACAGATGGGACAATTAATAAATATAAAGCAGGATTAGTTGCTAAGGGTTTCCATCAGGTTAAAGGTTTTGACTATACTGAAACGTTTTCACCAGTTGTGAAACCCATTACAGTGAGGACTGTTTTAACACTTGCCATATCTAAAGGTTGGATCATACAACAAATTGATGTCAATAATGCTTTTCTAAATGGAGTGCTTAATGAAGAGGTTTATATGGTTTAACCACCAGGTTTTGAAAAGGGTGAGCCTGGTCTAGTCTGCAAGCTACACAAAGCCCTATATGGACTTAAACAGGCTCCTAGGGCCTGGTTTGATAAGCTCAAAGGGTCTCTTCTCCAACTGGGTTTCATTGTCAGCAGGTGTGATCCCTCCTTCTTCATGATGCTCACACCATCCTGCTACACCTTAGTGTTGGTGTATGTTGATGACATTATCATCACTGACTCTTCTTCTTCTTTCATCAAGCAGTTGGTCACTAAACTCAATCTGGCCTTTTCTCTCAAAGACTTGGGCAAACTAGATTATTTTTTGGGCATAGAGGTAACTCATCTTCCCAATGGTTCTCTTCTGCTTTCTCAAAGCAAGTATGTCAGGGATTTGCTTCATAGAGCTAACATGGCTACTGCTAAAGGAATTGCTTCCCCTATGGCCTCGAGCACCAAACTATCCAAAGTAGGTTATGCTCAAGTTGCAGATTCCACCTACTTCAGGTCTATAGTAGGAGCCCTACAGTATGCTACTGTAACAAGACCTGAGATCTCTTTTGCAGTAAACAAAGTTTGCCAATTTCTCTCAAACCCTCTTGAGGATCATTGGAAAGCTGTTAAGCGAATTCTCCGGTATCTGCGAGGGACAATTTCACATGGCCTTCTTCTCTCACCTGCTAACCTCACTTTGCCTCTCACTATCACAGGCCTTTGTGATGCAAACTGGGCCTCTAATCCTGACGATAGAAGGTCTACTTCTGGGGCCTGCATCTTCCTAGGTCCTAATCTTGTTACTTGGTGGACAAAGAAGCAGACACTTGTTGCCAGATCAAGTGCTGAGGCAGAATACAGAAGTCTGGCCTTAGCTACAGCAGAGATTCTCTGGCTTCAATCTCTTCTGCAGGAACTTCACATCACCCATCAGACTCCCAAGATACTGTGTGACAATCTAAGTGCAGTATCTCTAGCTTACAACCCTGTTTTGCATTCAAGGACCAAGCACATGGAACTTGACATTTTCTTTGTCCGGGAGAAAGTGATTGGCAAGAACCTGATTGTTTCCCACATTCCTGCAGTAGATTAGTGGGCTGATGTGTTAACCAAGCCACTCTCCACCAACAGATTCTTGTTTCTTAAATCAAAACTTAGAGTTGTTGACAAGCTCAAACTTGATCAACCACCCTAAGTTTGAGAGGGGAGTATTAGAGATATAAGGGCAATCCTGTAATATTCTAGTATAAGGGAATTAGACTAGTGTCTAATTCCATTTCTATCCCTTATCCTTTCCATATAAAGGATTGTTGTAACTGAATCAAATACAATAACAAATTATGTTTTGCATTTTCCCTCTCTCTTTCTCTCTCTCTCTTCTCTTTCTCTTCACTCTTTGCTTCTCTGTTTTCTATCAGTTTTGTCAAATTAGATTTTCATTACTAAATTAGTCTGTCAAAATGATAGTGTCACCATTTCAGTCGTCCAAAAAATTTCATCACATTAGTCCTTCAAAGATGCACATTTGTCTCGAGATTTATCCATACAAAAGCTAAAGTGGATAAGTAAAAAGGCGAATTTTGTGGCATTTTTAGATCTTTGAATGTCTAATTTAATGAGAAGTCCTTTGAAGAACATAGAGCCTGTTTGCATTCTAAAAGTATTTTCAATTTTCATTTTATTAGGCCATGGATGAGAAGGCTACTGAAGTGAATTATTATGGTTGAGAGATGATGGAAGGAGATTGCATTTTTGAAAACACTGAAAAACATGTTATTGGCAATTTTGAAATTTTCGAATTGGATAGGAACATGGTATTGGATAGAACATTATGGCAGAATTTGATCCATATAACCGACCCCACTTAAATGGATAACGTTTGGTTGTTGGATCTTTTTAAAAAAGCCCATTTTCAAAAGTTTCTAGAATGTATCGTCTATAAGGTTTATTCTTTTTGGTGGAAATGAAAGTAAGGAAACCAGAGAAGTAAAGGGGTCTTAATATGGTGACACTTTAATCTCTGAGGGACAAATAAAGTTTCACCAACCCCTTTCTATGGCTTTCATAGGGATATCTGTAGATAATATATATTTCAACAATATCTCGTTATATTGTTAAATATTAACTTTACATTTTAGCTTTCTGGTTTATCGCTGTAGTGTTTTAATGCATATGGAAATGGCTTTTTAATGCTGCTTTCAGGGCTAAACACAACCATGTTTTGTATGATTGCAGAGTCTAGACCAAATAAAGTGTAGGCTACTTGAAGGATCAAATGCTCAAGAGGTCAGGGCAGTGATTCTGGATATGCAAGCTAGGTTATTGTTGGATATGCTCGGAAAGGGAATCGAGTCTGCTTTAAATGACCCTTCAGCTTTAGTGCCTGATCCATGGCAGGTATCTGGTGAGACATTATCCAATATTGATCTCGAAGCAGTAGCAGTTGAACCTGCACTAATTCCATGTGTTCAGGTTTGTTTGTTTACAGTTATAACCACATGCTCCATATTTTGTTTGACAGGAAGATTTTGGCACAGTTTTCTGCTGCAGCAGTTGACAGTTGCTAACTGCATGGTTATATATGCATAGCTTTTGAACCCAGAAATCCAAAGAGGAAAACAATTGTTTATAATTGACTGAAAAACGAGCTCAGAGGCTCTACAATGCTAAATAAAACAATGCAAAAGATAAACCAGAGTCAAAGACTCCTATTCCAGACCAAAGCTCATAACCAGGGAGAAAACTCTCCTGACCAACTCTAGCAATATTTATCAATGCCCTTACACCCTCCTACTCATGTATGTATAATACCCCTCTAACAGGATCTCATGATCCCACCAGCCACCCAACTGACAAACTTTCATTTTCTCCCTCATGGACCCACTTTCTTGTAGAATATGCCTCGACGTCCTAACATCATCGTATATGTAAAAGAACTTATGTTGTTGCATATTTAATACATCATGTAGATAAATATACCTACCACCTATTATATTATATGTATATAAATCTCATAATTGTTTCAATATTATGTAGGCGTATGTTGATTCAGTTCTTGATCTGGCTTCACATTTTATCACACGGTTGCGGCGGTATGCAAGTTTCTGTCGTACAGTGGCAAATCGTGGTGTGACTGTGGGGACTGGAAGCAACCGAAATAAGGTCACTGGTCCTGGTCAAAATTCAACAGCTCCTGCAACAAGTCAGGGTAGGTCTGCAACAATATGATATATTGTTTTTTATTAATAGATATTTCTTACAATAGAAAACTAAGTTAAACCATTAAGAATGATTTTGATTTAAATGGTCGATCAGCAGCAGACACGATTCTTAGTAGCATATTATGGCATTATTTGATTGATGATGTGTAGTTTGATCCTATTAAAGAAACTGGTATTAACCAGTCCACACTGTAATTACTGTGCACTATCTGCACAGTACTATAGTCTATCTAACTGTCCCTAACTAACTTCTAAAATCTAGGAAACTAATCCCTAGATTTTAGGAGATTTGTAAGTTGTAACTAACTCAATTGAGATCCATGGTTCTATAAATAGATGTAAATCCTTTGTAATCAAAGTTAAAAAATGCAAAAACAGAAGTTAAGAGAATTCAATTGAGAATTCTCTCATTACATTCATGAGTGTTAGATATCGGAATATTCCATATTATGTAAATAAAATATTCTGTAAGTAATTAGGATATCATGTAAATAGGAAATAGAATATTATGTAATTATTATAGAATATTATGTAATTACTATGACATTTATGCCTCCTATTATATATAATGAGCTCCGATGTGTAATTCATACACACGGATTCAATCCAACCTTCCTCTTGTTCTCTCATTATTCAACGTGGTATCAGAGCCTCATCTAAGATCCATTGGACCACCCACCATTTAGTTCCACGCTCCAGTCCTAATTCCTGGGCGTGAGAGGGGGTGTTAAAAGTCCCACATCGGATAATATATGGCCTGAACATGAGTTTATAAGTGGGAGTAATCCTCCTCACCTTACAAGTCGGTTTTGTAGGGTCGAGTTAGGCTCAATCACACATTCTAAGATGGTATCTAGAGCCTAACAAGAGGCAACCCTAATCCTTGCTTTCTTGGTAGATCCACTATCTATCGGCGCCAATTTTTTTCGGTAACCGTGCTTCATCTCCGATTTCTGATATTCCTTCTCAGATCTTCCATTTTTTGTTTTGGTCACTTCTCTCACCGTTTTTGGAATCCATGGCCGCCGTTCCCCCTCCAAGGACTGAGGCCCCTATTTTCACAAGTTATATCACTACTCCTCTTGCCGTTGACAAAATGGACGGTACTAACTATGATTCTTGGGCTTCCGACGTCAAGTTATGGCTCCGGGGACAGGCCTATGAAGATCAACTCACTACGAAGGCTGACTCGGTGGCTGCCACTGATAGTGTTCTTTGGAAGAAAATTGATACTCAACTCTGCAGTCTCATTAAGTCGACCATTAGTCCATCCTTGAAACAGATCTTTCGTTCTCATGAGACTTGCGAATCTGTTTGGGCACAGGCTAAGATCCTTTATACCAATGATACACAACGCTTATATGGAGTGTGTCAAAATTTGCAGAATATTATTTCCCCTCGTCACCTGGATGATTCTATGGCTGAATTCTTTCGTGTTCAAGGTCTTCATGATTTCAATGAATTATTGCCCCTAGCTGCTACCACTGCTAAGGAACTTGAACAACGTTGATCCTTCTTCATGCTTCTAGCTCTGTATGGCCTACCTCCAGAGTATTCGTCTGTTCGCGATCAGATATTGGGGTCTCCTACAATCCCCACTCTGGATACTGCATGGTCTACTTTGCTGCGTGTCCCAGCAAAACCATCATCTGACGGCGGAGTCCCACCCACACCAGTTGATTCATCTGCTTTGGTTTCTCAAGGAGGTAATCGTGTTCCGGGTGGTGATCGTGGCCATTTTCAGAAGACAGGAAAGCCTCGTCCTAAGATCTTGTCATAAGCTTGGCCACACTATTGATCGGTGTTATGCTTTACATGGACGTCCCTCTCCTCGGACTGCCCACGTTGCCCAGACCGCTCCACCTCCACAGGCTGCTACTCCGACTGATTCTGCCACCTCACCTGCTATCTTCAACGACTTTATCAAGTTGTATGAGGAGCGTCAGGCCGCTAGTTCCACTGCCTCTGTTATGCACACAGGTAATTCTTTTGCTGGTCTTTGTCACTCCACATCTCTTGGCCCATGGATCCTTGATTCAGGCGCCACTGATCACATTACTGGTAATAAATCTCTTTTTTCTTCATTCTCTACTTCTGGTTTATTACCTTTTGTCACATTAGCAAATGGCTCCCAAACTCAATCTCAGGGTACTGTACTATCCACCTTTTTCCCTCGCTCTCCATTACTAATGTTCTTTATGTACCCGGATCTCCGTTTAACTTATTGTCTCTAAGTCGTTTGACTCGATCTCTTGATTGTACTATCTCATTCACCAAAGATTCTTTTTTCTTGCAGGACCGGAGTTCGAGGCGGATGATTGGCACCGGATGTGAGTCTAATGGTCTTTATCTTCTTCAACCATCTGCACATGTTGGTTCCGTGGTGGATTCTCCCCTCCTGGTTCATGCTCAGTTAGGACATCCAGTCTTGCAAAGTTACAAAAGTTGGTGCCAAACCTTTCCAAGTTATCTATGTTGTCTTGTGAGTCTTGTCAATTAGGAAAACATGTTCGTAGTTTTTTTCCGAGTCGTGTCAATCGTCGTTCTAAGTCTCCGTTTGCTCTAGTTCATTCAGATGTTTGGGGTCCTAGTCGCATTGTTTCCACTTTAAGGTCTAAGTATTTTGTTACCTTCATTGATGATTATTCTCGATGTACCTGGTTATTTTTAATAGAAAATCGATCGGAGTTATTTGCTATTTTTCAAATATTTTATAATGAAATCAAAAATCAGTTTGGTATATGCATTAGTACTTTGCCCAGTGACAATGCTCGAGAATATTTATCTACTCAATTTCAAACTTTCATGGCTACTAACGGTATGCTTCATCAAACGTCTTGTGCTCACACACCACAACAAAACGGAGTCGCTGAACATAAAAATAGACACCTAGTTGAAACCACTAGGACACTCTTACTTCACAATAATGTTCCTCAACATTTTTGGAGTGATGCTGTCCTTACGGCTTGTTATCTCATAAATAGGATGCCATCATCTGTCCTCAACAATCAGATCCCTCACTCTATTCTATTTCCTCACCAGTCTCTTCACCCATTACAGCCTAGAGTCTTTGGGTCTACATGTTTTGTCCATAATGTTAGTCCTGTGCTGGACAAACTCTCAGCTCGTTCTCATAAGTGTGTGTTCTTAGGCTATACAAGATCCCAAAAGGGATATAAATGTTACTCCTCGTCTCTTCGTCGATATTTCGTCTCTGCTGATGTCACATTCTTTGAGTCAGTCCCTTACTTTGGGACGTCTACAGGGTCTGAGTCCTTATCACCCATGTTTTCTTCAACTCCCACTACTGCTCCACCAAACGTAGTTCTGTCTCCTTTGCTAGCCAATCCACCCCCATTAGCTCCTTTGCAGGTTTATTGGCGTCGACCACGGCCACCTCCACTACCATCAACTAATGCAGAAATCACCATAGACTCCCCTCCGGATCCAACTCCTTCGTCCCCTCCGGTCCTGCCCCTTGAGACTGATCTCCCAATTGCACTTCGCAAAGGTATACGTTCCACTCGTAATCCATCTCCTCATTATGTTAATTTGTCTTATCATCGCTTGTCTTCTTTGCATTATGCTTGTATTTTCTCTTCTGTGTCTATTTCCAAGACTGTAGGTGATGTTTTATCTCACCCTGGCTGGAAACAAGCTATGCTTGATGAGATGTGCGCTCTTCAGAACAGTGGCACGTGGGACCTTGTTCCTCTTCCTCTTGGAAAATCTGTTGTAGGTTGCAGGTGGGTTTTCACAGTCAAAGTTGGGCCTGATGGACAAGTTGATCGTCTCAAGGCACGTTTAGTGGCCAAAAGTTATACACAGCTGTTTGGCCTAGATTATGGTGACACCTTCTCTCCCGTGGCTAAAATGGCCTCGGTTCGATTATTTCTCTCTACGGCAGCTATTCGCCACTGGCCCCTTTACCAGCTTGACATCAAGAACGCATTCCTCCATGGTGATTTGTGTGAGGAAGTTTATATGGAGCAACCTCCTGGGTTTGTTGCTCAGGGGGAGTCTTCTGGACTAGTTTGTCGTCTTCATAAGTCTTTGTATGGACTTAAGCAATCTCCTAGGGCTTGGTTTGAGAGATTTAGCACTGTTATTCAAGAGTTTGGTATGACGCGATGTGAAGCTGATCATTCAGTGTTTTATCGTCACTCAGTTGTTGGGTGTATTTACTTAATTGTGTATGTGGACGACATTGTCATTACAGGTAATGATCATGGAATCACACAGGTAAAACAACACCTTTGTCATCATTTTCAGACAAAAGACCTCGGTAGACTTTGTTATTTCTTGGGCATAGAGATTGCCCAATCCAAACGGGAGATTGTGATTTCACAAAAGAAGTATGCTATAGATATTTTGGAGGAAACATGACTTTTAAATTCCAAGCCAGTTGACACTCCGATGGATCCCAATGCTAAACTTATGCCAGCTCAGGGGGAGCCACTCTCCGATCCTGGAAAATATAGAAGATTAGTTGGAAAACTGAATTACCTCACTGTTACTCGCCCAGATATTTCATTTCCTGTTAGTGTGGTAAGTCAATTTCTTAACTCTCCTTGTGAAGGGCATTGGGAAGCTGGGATTTGCATCTTGAAATATATTAAAGGAGCTCCAGGAAAAGGCTTACTCTATGAAGACAAGGGACACACTCGAGTTGTAGGATACTCAAATGCAGATTGGGCAGGTTCTCCTTCTGATAGAAGATTCACCTCAGGTTATTGTGTTTTCTTGGGTGGTAACTTAATTTCCTGGAAGAGTAAGAAATAAAGTGTAGTGGCAATGTCAAGTGCGGAAGCAGAATATCAAGCCATGGCAACAACAACCTGTGAGCTTATATGGCTTAAACAATTGCTTCACGACCTGAGGTTCGGGGATGTTTCACAGATGACACTTATTTGTGACAATCAGGCATTGCATCAAATCCAGTGTTCCATGAGAGAACCAAACACATTGAGATTGATTGTCATTTCATCAGAGAGAAGATTTTATCTAGAGATGTCAGCACTAGTTTTGTCAATTCAAATGATCAGTTAGCTGATGTTTTTACTAAGCCTTTGAGAGGTCCTCGAATTAATTATATTTGTAACAAGCATGGTGCATATGACATATATGCTCCCGTTTGAGGGTGAGTGTTAGATATCGGAATATTCCATATTATGTAAATAGAATATTCTGTAAGTAATTAGGATATCATGTAAATAGGAAATAGAATATTATGTAATTATTATAGAATATTATGTAATTACTATGGCATTTATGCTTCCTATTATATATAATGAGCTCCGATGTGTAATTCATACACACAGATTCAATCCAACCTTTCTCTTGTTCTCTCATTATTCAACAATGAGAAAAAAAGAATTCTAACAGATCCATATAACTGAAAAAAGGCTTTGATTGTTCTTTTTGTGTAGTTTGTTAGGTTTTGATTGATAAATTGTATAAATGTACCTAGAAGCAAAGTTTTGGGCCTTTTGCTTTTAATTGGGATAGAAATTCATTTACCTTTGTTGAAATATCTCTTATTTAGTATTATTTATTTTCTTATTTAAGAGTCATTATATTACTTTTAAGAGTCATTATATCACTCCTAAAATAAAGGAGCTGACTTTGTATTTTCTCTCCTATGAAAGGAGCCCTTTTTCCTTCATAATAAAATTGACAATTATCTCCCATATGCTTTTCTACAACCTTGAATATTTTAATTGCCTTGACTGTCAGCATTATTTTTTATTTTACGTATCAAATAAAGGCAAAAATAACATTGTCCAGGAGGTGAAAATGGGACAACCAGTTCTAGTGGAAGCATAGAGATGAAAGCTTTGGTGCAAGGGGCTATTGCCAAGATTAGCAACACCTCTGATGGAGTATCCAATCCGACTCCTAATCCCCCCATCAGCGGTCTTTCGTCCTTTATGTCCATAAGCATGAATAGAGGAACTTTTTCTGGAACACCCGCAGTTCGACTTATTGGGGACTGTCATTTCCTTCATAGATTATGCCAACTTTTGCTCTTCTGCTTTTTCTTTCGACGATCACAACTTCCCCACTATATGAGTGGTGTGCAGAGAACTGCCGATAACAATACACAAAAGCCTCAACCTAATGCTTCTGTTCCTGGCAAGGTGGAGGAGATTGCAAAACCAGTGTCAAGTGTGGTTAGGTCAGATGACAGTCAGACAGGACGAGTTCAGGTTGTGCCTAGGTCAAGAGGGGGTGAAGAACAGTCTCTAGGGCGTTCAAGATTTGGTACTGGAAATGCAGGTCAGGGGTATACTTTTGAAGAGGTATAACTTTGTTACAACTTACCTAAAATATCTTAAACTTTGTTATTTGTGACTGACATAAATGTTTGGAAACCATGGCAATTCATTCCTTTTCTTACAACAGTTGAACTGTTAGTTTCACTTGAGGTTTTAAAGCACTAGTAATGCAGGTCAAGGTTCTTTTTCTAGTAGTTATGGACCTCTGTCGCCGAACATCTAGTCTGCAACACCCCTTGCCAGTTTCTCAGGTGGGGAGTAGCAACATTCAGGTTCGGCTGCATTATATTGATGGGAACTACACTGTACTGCCAGAGGTTGTGGAAGCATCCCTTGGCCCACATATGCAGGTAACTTTCTGTTTTCTCATTTCAAAGGTAGTGTGTCTGGTAGATAAATGGAACTAGTTATGGGTTTTTTTTCACAAGCATGATGTATTGTTTCCACTAGTTTAATATGCCACTCAATTCATGATTTGAAAGTATGATGTAAGAATGATAGAAATGAATGAAATAGGGTTAGATAGGGGCTCAGTTGTCTTTCTTTAACTAGCATGTTGTTTCTCATTTAATGATAAAGCACACTGTTTTAGATTACGTAGGGACAGTTAAAATGTATGAATATTGAGCTCTTGTAAAAATACATGTTTTTGTTTTGTTTTATTTCATTTGGGTGAATTAAGACCTGTTTCTTTCCTTGGACTGAGTGGCTAAATTTCCTAAGAGTGGCGCCTGCCCCATAATAATATAAAAAATGACTATGCAGAACATGCCTCGCCCTAGAGGTGCAGATGCCGCTGGTCTATTACTACGGGAGCTAGATCTCCATCCTCCAGCAGAAGAGTGGTACCGACAGAATTCGTTTGGTGGACCTTGGACTGATCTAGATGATGAGGATGATGCAAATGATGAACCAAGACTAGTTAGTTTATATCCATTTGATTCCAGTTCATTGGAAAACAGTGATATCCATTATGAAGCCAATGGCTTGTGGCCAAGGCAGCGCAGGTTGTCTGAACGAGATGCAGCTTTTGGGTTGAACACTTCAGAGAGTCTGGGAGCTTATCTTGGTATTATGGGATCTCGGAGAGATGTAGTTACTACATTATGGAAGACTGGCCTTGAAGGGGTCTGGTACAAGGTATGAAAAGAAGTTTTGTACAGTTTTTCTTTTTGTTTTTCTTGTCCTTAAGTGCCGACCGATGTAATCTTTGATGTTAACTGAAAACTTTAGTTTTGTCAAACTTGTTAATGTGTTCAATCGGGATCAAATTTGTAAATAAAGTTATTTTATCGATGATGCTTGAAAATTAGTAAAAAGACACATCTCCTTATTCTTCTTCCCACACTCCTATTTTTCTTTCTGCTTCCACGTGGATATTATTCTATTTCCGTTCTTCGACATGTCTACATTCACTTGTATAAACACACATGCAATAGAAGCACTATAACCATGGTTGTGTATTGTTACTTATCGGATATATAATAGATCTGCTTCTTTTTCTGATTCTTCTTTTAACTTCTGTATGGTGCAGTGCATAAGATGTTTGCGGCAGACTTCTGCTTTTGCTTCCTCAGATTCCACCAACCTTCCTAGTCAAAATAACTGGGAGAGTTGGTGGGTGAGACGCTGGGCGTACGGCTGTCCAATGTGTGGTGGAAGGTGGACTCGAGTTGTATAACTGGCTTCATTACAAAATTGTCGCCATGTGAGTTTCTTGGTTGAGGGAATAAACACATGAACGTGGTTAACTGAAGGAACTAAATATAGATGAAATGCGATTAGAATTGTACAGGGAAGAAGAGATGTAGATGTGATGTTTCTTCTTGATTGAGGGAAGAAACACATGATTGTGAAGTATAGAAACTGGATGAAGATGAAATACTGAATGGAAGTGTACAGAGATGAAGAGGTGTGTAGATCCTGACAGTGACGGGTGTGTTGTGTTTTATGCAGTCACTGTTGTTGGAGCAAAGAAAAAAACTAGCTCTAGTTGACATTTCATTGTCATTAAACTCTTCATAACACTTTGATGTTGCAAGTGAAGGTGTTTACTTCATAGAACAAATGATGAGTGGAAGGAAGAATTGTGTATGTCTCCTATGTACTCCAAGGTTTATGAAGATAAAACAATTTTTGGATAAAATGCTTGAGTTATTTATTTATAGACCTTAAAACATTTAAGCATCTCAACATAGGTTTTTAACATTTAAAGTGATAATCAAGATCACTTCTATATTATATAAGTTTAGTAAACATAACAATAGAAACACTAAATATTATATAAATTTTTTGTCAACATTATTTACTATAAAAATTATGACAAAAAATGCTATATTATATTTGAAGTTACATTTGTATCATCAATATCTTCCACCTTTTTCTTGTAGTAGTTTTTGAAATCGCAAGATATAATTGACTATACGTGAATACCAATGGTAGAAGATATACTACAACGTTATAAAGGTATAGGAAACCGTATAAGCTGAAATTTAAAAGAATTTTTTACATCAGAAAAGTGTCAAAAATAATCTTGGTATCTAAATTTTATCACCAATACCTAACCTTCCAACCACATGTTTTTTCATCTTTGTGATTATTAGTCAAATTCCATTATAGAATCATGAAAAAGTATATATATATAGTTTGCTTCTTCAATAATAATGAAATGGTCCCTGAGTTTGTCATTGTAAATTTCCTCTTCTTTGACTCTTTGAAGTTTTCAAACATCGCATGTTTCGCAAATAAGACAGAAGTATGATTCAATTTTGGTGCTTGTCTAAAGCCATAAATGGCCTTTTTCAATTTAAGACCTTGTCTTTTCCTCTTTTCTCATATCCTAATGATTCATCAACATAAACATTTTCAATTCATTCATCATGTAAGAAAAGTACTCTTCACATCAAGTTGGTATACTTGCTAGCTTTTTCATGCCAATAGAATTAGAATTTAGTCTAACTCATCTCTACACAACCGATTTATAGGGTGAAGGGTGATACTTTATATGAATTTTTTATGGACTTTATATATTTGTCAATCTTTCCTTTATCATTATCATTGCACTTGGTCTTATATAAACGAAAGCAAATATGAAAATCACAAGTCAAAACTAAAAAACTTCATCTTATCTATATTGGAAATGATCAGAAATACTCATTGCTCAACATTAAATGTACAAAAATAATGAAACCAAACAAGATATCCCAAAAGGAGTAATAAATGCAAAGAAGCTACCCCTGGTGATACTATTAAGTTGCTCAATAAATTTATGATGAAACTAGTAGTTATATCTGTCCCCAAGTAGACCAATTAGCCTCACTTCCAACACGCGGCATCATCTGATTCCTTGACTGAGAATCAACATTGAAGTTGGCTCCACACATAACACCCTCACTGTCAATCCTAGGCATTGCTTTCATCTTCTTTGTTGGATGTTCAAAGTTCAACAGACCATGCTCACTATGAAACAAACACCCTGAAATTTTCAACACCATTTAGTAATTTTTCACAATATAATTCATAGTAAGTGTACCAAATCTTAATTTTTCACAATACCATTTGGAAAAGGTGCAAATGATTTAGCACAACCAGACTTAACAAGCTCCACATTTTCAGAAATAACCACTGACCCATCAGCTGCAATACCCCAATACAGTCCAATTTGGCCATCAGAGCCCTAATAAAAAAACAAAACAAAATAGGAACAATTGTTAGTGAATAAGTCCAAAAAAAAAAGTGATTCTTTACCAAAAAAAAAGTGACTCACAGATGCAGCAAAAACTGTTTGATTTTTATGGTCATAGATGACAAATCCAAAACTCCCTTCAAATTGTTTAAGAACTTGATCAGCTGGGTATGGACCCCGGTCGCGAAGTGTCCTATACGCCTCGATGATGAAGATGGCCTCATTGCTTCCCTTTGATAGTCCATATTGCTTGTTCAATTGACTAAGGTTGTGTAGATTTCCCATGAAAGCACAATATATGTTGTCCAAACCACTAAACAACCTATGTGACACATGAAACATTTTGTTGTATTAGCAATCTATGAAATCATATATGATTCAGACACGTAAACATAGATAGATAGTATGATACCTTTGATAAATGGAGGGTGTGTTTGAAGGGGAATAGGCTAATAAAGCATCATTTCCAAAAGTCATGTAGAAAGCATCGGAGGAATTGCATGAGATGAAATCTCTAAGAATTTCGTGACTTGGTTTAGCTTTCTTAGGGTTTGAATTCTGAGAAGCTGGACTATTAAGCTCTTTTGGTGCATTCACCAACTTTTCCTTGAAAATTCCCAACATCTTTTCCTCTGTTTAAAGTGACAATTAGCTGCATAAAAAAACATCTCAGGGGTTTTGAACAATGAATGAAAAAAGATGGTAACTATGAAAAGTAATGAAATGAAAATAGAGAAGCATACCAAGAAATAATGAGATCAGATTTGTGGCGAGATAGATTGAAAATGGATAATGGATGAGAATAAATAGACTAATGTAAGATATATATAGAAAGGGGTGTGTTTGAAGTTTTCTTTCTTTTGACTTCAAGATGTGAGAGAGGTGACGTGGAGATTCTATCCAATCCAAACAATAAATAAATAAATTAGATAAAGATGAAAAAGTAAAATATATTAATCATTATGTTTTTAATATATATGCAGGCCAGATTCAGAATTGATAGTTTGTATTTCATCCTTTCAGCAAACAAATAAAAAAAATTGGATTTATTGACATTCATAACAATTAAATTTAAAATATAACTTTGTACATAATAATTTGGAATAACTTTTTTATTTTAGAAATAAATTTATTAATTTATATCTTAGTTATTCAATTTAAATTTATGTGATAATTAATTTACTTAAATTTATATTTTGTATTATTTTATTATGTGTAATGATTATTTTAAAAATTCAATTTAAAGAATGAATCTATAGAATTATGATTTTTTTTGAAATTTTTTAGATATTAAATTTTTTTAGAGATCGAATCATTCTGTTCGATAATTTTAAAGACGTATTAGTCAAGTAAGTTATATTAATTTAATATTAATTATTATTATTTATATTTTAAAATGACTGTTTAAGAAATAAATTTTATTTTAAAATAATTTTTATTTTCATTTTTTAATGTAATAATATTTATTATTTTTACAAGTGTGTTGTTTATTTTTTATTCTCTATATTACTTTTAATATATTAATAAAATTAATTTTATAAAATGTAATATTTTATAATAATATCATTAAATTCTTTAATTTATTTATAAAAACTTTAAACAACAATCATTTTAAAAATAAAAGAATATTTATTTTAATTAAAAAATAATAGTAAAAGGAAGTGGTGTAATAGCATGAGAATGTTGTGAGGGAAGAGAAAGTGGTGTTGGTGGGAATTGAAGGTAAATTTAGTGTAGACGTGGAATTGTGAATAAATTAAATCTTATCCATTTTCATTTTCATGTGACAATAATCTGACTCATCAACTTCCAAAACCACCTTACATCATCATCCACAGATTATCTACAATTTTTTTATGACTTCTTTATGTTCAAGTTTAAAAAAGTCATTTGTGTCTGAATATCACATGCCACGAGAATCTCTGAATTCAATGGATTATGGATATCATCTTCTTTTACCCTGTTATATGGAGTCGTACACAATAGGGGTGTTCAAAACCAAACCGGTCCAATAGAAAATTGCAAAACCGAACCAAACCAAATCGAAACCGCAAAAAATCGCATTTAGTTCGGATATGTTTTGGTCATTTTCTCGTGGAACCGCACGGTTCGGTTCGGTTTGCGGTTTGTATTTTACAAATTGAACCAAACCAAACAAAACTGCATTATGTTATAAAATTTTAATAACCAATATATATTTCTATAATTCTTTAGAGAAATCAATATGTATTATATGTATATTTTATCATACTTTGTATTATATTAATTTTAATTTACAAATCATAAAAAATAAAATATTATTCATTTATAAATACTATTTTCACAAAATATAATTTATCATATTCTTTGTATAATATTTATTTAAGAACGCAATCTTGTTGATATCATTATTTAGATTTAGATAAAATTATAATACGCAATTTTATGTATCAAATTATAAATTTATTTTGACAATTATAAATTTTTTATGGTAATGTATGAACAATTAAATATAAAATTATATTTTCCTATATATTTGTATGTATGACATAATAATTATTTTTGTAAAAAACCGAAACAACCGAACCAATCCAAACCGCATTAGTTTGGTTTGTTTGGTTTGGTTCGAATTTATTTTTAAAAGCCAACCGAACCAAACCGAACTGTATGTTTTTTTCTCTTGCGGTTCGGATGATTTTTTGCTTCAAAACCGCCCAAACCGCACCGCGAACACCCCTAATACACAAGGTCATTGGAAATATGAAATTTACTCTCTCCGTTTTAAAATAAATATTATATTTTGAAAACAAAATTTATTTTAAAATATTTGTTATTATTAATATAATTTTTAATTTTTTAATTATACATTTTAATTTATTATTTTCTCACTTAACATTTAAATATATCAATAATTAATTAGAATAATTTAGTAAAATTACTATTTCTTTCTTTTTATTTATTATTGTTTCTTAATCAGTGTAAAATAATTAATTGAAACAAATAATATGAAACAAACG